AATGATCATTGTTACCAAACACTTCAACTTTAGTATCATCAGAACATAGGGCATGGTCTCAAAAGTTAAGGTCTTTGTGTCTACTAGCAAAATGTAACCTGTTTTTTAATGTTGCTTTTGCAGAAATGGCTTCCTTCTCACCAAGTGGCCTTTTACGGGACTCATTTCAATGTATCTAACTGCCCTCTCTTACCAGCCTCTAGAAACATCTTTATAAGGTTTTTTGCTTTTGTTGTGGAGTTGATACACACATTTTGCACCAAAATATGTTGAACCTTTACTTCTTGAATGGTATGACAGATAAACTTTTCCATGCTGTTTATACTTGACTATAACTGTCAAGTACAACTGATGAATGTGGCACCTTCAGGAATCTGCAAATTGTGCCCACAGATGAACCAGACCTCTGGAGGTCTTCCTGATATCTTGGCTGCTTTTTAGTGATTTTTCCATGGTGTCACACAGGAAGGCAGCGTGCTTTAGGTGTTGCCTTAAAATACATCCACATGTGTGCCTCTAGTTAACACACATGCTGAAAAAAAACCAAGCAGAAGATTGCAAATCCATGACATCATCGCCTGGGCTTTCTCAATTGTTTAAAGCATAGTGATCCTAATGCCTGTCAGCTTTTTAATTTGAGTATTCCTAACTAACCTAAAATCTGAAAAATTCTGTCTGAATTAATTTCAAACAGTGAGAAAAAAAAAAGGTTGTGTGTGATTTTATACAGTCAACATCTGGGAGCCCTACTTCCAATGCTTCCAATTGCCTTAATGTTACAGATCAGACTAGATCTTGTACATTAAAATCTCTTTGTGCAAATTAAGATTTATTACAAAAACATACTACAGCGGCTAGAAATCACGTAGAATGAAGTCTTACTGTGGTAATTTTAGGAAATTCAAACAGGATTTTTCTCTTCACATTTTGACCATTAACAAAGTTTTTCTGCTATGCACCAGAGGTTTACTCGCCACAGATGAATCCACCCGGTAATCAGATATGTTGAAACTACATTTAACAAATAAAAATAGTTTTATATCACACTTTAATAGTCCACCAAAGTGCTGCAGGGAAAATGGCCAAAAACTTAGTCATATAAAAAAAGTTTCTTTTTTTACAGAAAAGGTAACATTACTCTAATATGAGCATTTTTTAAATCTGTTTTCTGTCTTAATATTTTAAAGTTTTGCTGTTAGAATAATAAACAGTGGCAATCAAAAAACATATAACTGTGTAGAAACCTTTAAATTGCCTTCTTGATCCAAGTGAGTTGATGCAAGCTTTTGATTGAGTCATTTTTATTGGCTTTAAGACTGACCTGTACATAATTGACAGTCTGGTTATATCCACATGTGGCCATCGCCCACCACACTGACCAGTATAACAACTGTCTGGACGAATAACACTGGCGGAAATCCCTCCACAGCTGGAGGACGACCTGGCTGCAGGATCCTGCACCTTTTGTCTCATCCGATTCCTCATTCTCCTCTACTCTCTGCACATTTTCTTCTCCTTTGTCTCCCAAGGATATATTTGATCTTTTTGACTTATCTGCTTCATCCTCAGATCCATCTTTGTGCCTCTTTGCAGCTTCATTTGATGCCCTCTGTCCAGAGTGTTTTCTGTGGAAGAACATGCTACTCTGTGGCATGGGCAGGAAGCAGGTGGTAATGAGAGCAATGGCTGTGAGAACCAAAGTGAACACAATGATGTTGTTGTAGGACATGAGGTCTAAGCTGATGAGCACCTGACCCAGCACCGAACCTACGGTGTATCCCAGGAGCTGGATGCTGCGGCTGTAAGAAGTGGCCTTACGGTATCTCTTTAGATCTACAACACTGTAATGATTGAAACAGGATATTCAAAGCGTCAGGTCCACTCCAACCACACACAGCGCAGATTCATGACGGTGCAATACCTGTAGATATAGGAGAAATAGGCCACCTCGCTGGCTGTCACCACCCCGTAGCAGAACTGCATGGCCTGCATGGCCGCCACGGTCTCCGTCCACCTCATCAGAGCCGTGGTGATAAAGAGCATCACACACTGGAAGATTATTACAGGCTTGTAACGGAGCCAGTCAGTGAGCAGGAAAACCGGCACCAGCACAGACAGGTAGGAGTATGTCCACACAGGGAAAATCTGATTGTTGACCTGAAGAGGAGAAACTGTTACACACATGTCAACAGAAGAGAACCAGGCAAGGCACAGTAAGATCTGTTCAAAATCTGAGTCTGTTGTGGGACACTTTAAATCTATTTGAAGTTAATCCAACCATATTAATCTTAATTTGTTTTTATCACACAAGTGTAAAACACAGGGCTCTGTAGAGGTTAAAATTATAGAAAAACACTGTTAAAACTGAAAATAAATCACAGTTGTAGATGAGGAGCAAAGGAGATACAAGAGAAAACAAAAAATAGATTTTTCTATAAATAGAATTTATGGAAAACAAAAAATCTAAAACATACACACAAATACAGTACTAAACAATAATAAAAAATAAAATAAATGGAAAAGCGCGTTATTCTATAGACTGCTAAATCAAGTGAATATCTAGAATATCTAAATATCTAGAGACCATTAATAAGATTTAAAGACATCCTGGCACTTGACATCAGCCCCTCAGTCCATCTGTGTCCAGTTTGGATTAGTTTCACCAATAGTTTTATTATTTTCACATGGTTAGTAAGTATTCGTATTTGTAACCTTAATATACGTCTATAAATCTCCCTCCATTTAACTCAAATGTTGTGAATTAACCTACCAGAAGCTGACAAAGCTATGAAGATCATCATTTGGACGTTTCAAATAGATTAAAGTTACAGTAATCTTAGTGTGTGTGCAAACTTCTGACTGAAGAAAGTAATAAAAACATTTCTTGAGGTGTTGTGTATGTAGGGCCAAAAAGGACATAATTAAATGAATTAATGTCCCATAAATGTCTCATTAAATAATTAAATATGCCAATAAATTATGAAATGCACAACTAATTTATTGAATGTCCCGTTAAATAACAAAATATACATTTTAAATGATTAAACAAAATGTTAAAAGGTTTTTGAAAACAATAAATACAAATAGTCAGTCAGTCAGTCACTGCTGGACTGCAGACTGCTGGAGATAAGCACCAGCTTCCCCGCGACCCACTATGGAACAAGCGGTAGAAAATGACTGACTGACTGACCAAATACAAATAAATAAATACAATTATTTCACTCTGTATTTATATATTTCATGGCTCCCAAGCAGCACTAAAGTCTCATGTGAACTGGTTAGAGATATTTTAGCGCAATCTAGGGATATAGAAGCTGGAGTTGCTTACCAAGAGATCGTAGCAAAAAATTGGAAAAGGTTATTGGAGTTATTTCCGCACTTCAAGCAAAGACATTTACCTCTGAGTCATGGTATATTAAATCATTTATCTTTTGTTTTGTACCTGTTCAGTGGTCAGATTCTTGTCTGGTCCTGTCAGGAATGGTATGAGGAAAGGCTCCAACGGTTTCACTGTACTAAAAAATCCATAGATACACAGCAAAGTGGTGGGAAATCTCCAGTCTGACCTTAGCCTTTTCACCTTCTCCATGTCTGCCAGCTTGCTTTAGGTATTTGTATGTGTTCTTGGCAGCTGCAGCTCCTTTAGTCTTGCGTTCCTTTCAGGTTCAGTCATCCGAGTGCTGGTTTTGCAATTAACAACCAGGTCAAAGGGAAGCAAGGTTCCAGTGATTGTGAACCTTATCATGTTGCTGGACAAGTCCCTGAGCTTAATTCCTATCAGAAAATGTTATGTTTACAGCTTGACTTCCTGTTTAGATAGTGGGAGTCATGAGGCAGATATAACAGAAAAACAACCATGAGGCCCGTCAGCATTTTTTAGACACAATCCTTTTATTTTTACGGATCACAAACGTTCAGCAGAGATCACCTCCTTGGATCTGTCCTATCCAGAGAGCGGCGATGCACACAGGCGGTGTAGGTCCCTCGGACAAGGAAGAGAACGGAGATGGCAGCATAATAGCTGCCATATATGATAAACTGCAAACAGAAACTTTTATCAGGGTCAGAAACATTAAATCCTTCATATCAACCATTAACTCAACTGCATCAAGCATATTCTCTTGTAATGGCTAATTATTACCACAAGGTGTCCCCCTGTGGTCACAAACCTATTGTGTTTTCAGTAAGAGTTAAGGCATGCTGCTATTAAAAAGTGTATGTAATAAAATCAATAAATACAGTAAACCTGTGTGACAATGTCCAGTCCCAGTGCTGCTTCATCTACAACAATGACTGTGATAATAGTCTGCAATAAGAGGGCCATGAACGTGTTGATCCCAAACGTCAAAGCATAACACTCCATGGTGAGGTTTGATGCTATCTGAAATCTACAGAAACAAAATCAGGAGAGGAACTGTTGTTTAAAATTAGTTTACTGGATATATTCATGATCAGAGTTAGAAAATGATAATTACTTGAATAAACTTGGATTGTATCTTCATGGTAAAAAAACATTTAATGCACTATATTGTAAACTTCAGGTCAACAGCAACCACAATCCAAAAAAGACACATATGCTCTCGATCCTACAAAATGTATTTTCCTAGAGCCACAAAACCTGTATGACCCTAAATTACACAAAAAATAGATTAACATGTTTTATAAATCCTAAAATATGAAAATCTGTTAATTTCATGGTCAAACTGAAGAACCATGATGTTTTTTCTCTCTCTTTTGAACAAAAAACATCTAACTTTTACAATGAGGGAAATAAAATTCTGGCCTTAATAGAACGCCAACTGAAAATGGAGAAAAAACAGGAAAAGATTGCACATTTAAAGACCTTTTCTTTTTAAATTTATGTATTTTCCTTTTATGTTATGTATAAAAAATGTTTACTACTATTTAATTGTTTCAAAGTTTTTTGTGGTACTAGTTCACTTATTCATCAGTAACTGGACAGGAAGAAGGGCAGAGAAAAGGGGAAGACATGCAGCAAATGGCCCAGGGCTGGGTATTAAACCCAGGACAACTGGATTGAGGACTGTAGCCTCTGCATATGGTGTGCCTTCACTACCACTGGGCCACTGAAGGGCCAAACCTACACATAATTTTTTTTGCCAAAGTGCCAATATGGAGGACTTAAAAAATAAACAGACAAATCTGTTGTTGTTTAGAGGACTACCTTTTTTAATGTGTTATGATTTTTTGTTAGCCGTGTTTGGGTATCCAACAAAGTTCTCTAGATGCCAAAATAGTCTCCTAAAGAGGATTTAACTAAGGGTTCAGGTTAACGCCAGTGCAGCCCTTGCTCTGTAATGACAGCAGGTCAAGTGTGAGTGTTTTTTCGTGCACAATGAGCTGGAGGCATTTGGATGTTGGCTTGGTGTCATGATGGAAAGCAAATAAGCAATTTCCCTCCCAAAAAACATCAATTAAGATTTAGCAGGAAGCGCTAGGATTGGACTGCCAAGGGCTGACAAAAAAGACTTTGCGGAGAAGAGAAGTAAATGCTGAGTCCTGTGTCATGCTGACTGTCAAGCATCCTGTGACCATCCATATGTGGGGTTGCCTCTAAGGGAGTGGACTCAATCACAAGTTTGCTTTAAAACACTACAATGATTAAAGAATGACATCCTCCAAGTGTATCTCTACCCAACAATCCAGGAATAATTTGGTGATCAACAACATTTTTTATAAAAAAAAAAGCAGGTTGGAGAACCATGTGACAAGGCAAAAGTAACAACTGAGTGGTTCAAGGATTAAATATTGACATTTTGGCTCCACTGCTAGGAAGCTCTTCAGTCCTTAAACCATTTATAAACCGGTTGATGTATTTCTCAATAAGCCTTTCTCCTCTCTTGGAAATGTTTCAGATCGAACTTTAGTATACCAAAGAAACATCTGAAGAGAAGATCTTCAACACTGCAAGAGTAAGATTTTTGTATAAACATAATTTCTATCAGTCTCAGAACATTAACTTTATTGATTTTCAGGAGACCCAAGTATGTTTTTTAGAGTAGATATTAGATCTATTAGTTCACATGCACAATGTGCATAGCAGTCACATTTTTTGTGACTTGCTTCAAGGGCAATTTCAACCATTTTAACACTCCTACCACTTCTTGAATGAGCACATGAATCCATATTTTAGCGTCTGTATACATTTTTTCCCTTTGGATTTTTAACTCTGAGTCGTACATCAAATTGATGTAAAGTTACCATAAGTGAACTTTGAATGAGAAAAGCAGGAAACCATATGTGGAGCTTACATTGTGATGGTAATGAGAAACATGTAGCAGGATTTGAATATGACATATGCAGCATAGCATGCCCAGATACTGCTGGTGAATGCCATCAAATACACAGCACCTGAGCACACAGCTGAGAACAGCCCCAGTGCCAGCTCTCCCCACTTGGCCCAGGTCACTCTGATGAGGCTCACAGAGAAAGCTGCAGCAGCACCTGAAACACAGAGGCGAAATATGAAGCAGATCCCTGGTTGTTCCATGTACGTACATCCTCCTCATTGTGGTTCATTAATTTACCCCGAGGCCATGATCTCCTTCCTAAAGTGTTGACAGTAACAAATCGTGTGCATCCCTAAGCTAGTCTCCTTAGCCTGGTATGATGAACCTCTTGCAGCATGCACTTAGAATGTACCATCAGCAATAGTCAGAGAATCCAATAATTTTGTCTCTCTCTTTAATTGAAGCAATTACTCTTCCTCCTCTCACGCTGAGCCAGGATGACCGTGAGCCAAAAGGAACCAAGTGCTGCTGTTCTGCTTAAAAATCAATACACATTTTCCATTTAATCAGTCACCACATATAACCAGCCCCAGTGCGCTTGTCTTTTTGTTGATTGCAATTTTTATGTCTTTGTGTTAGCAGGCGTGGCAGCTTTAAACAATGTTGTTAAATTTTACTTTGTGGATCTGATGCTCTATTCTCCCCTTGCAATAATTACACTTCTGACCACAGTTTGCAAAGTTAGTTACCGTATTAGGACCTTTTTTTTCAAGAAATCTAAAGTCTATAAAGAACTTGTCTGAATTACATTACAATGATTTGCCATTGTGTTTATTTAATGAATTTCCAGAAGCTTGTGGTAAAAATAAAACTTCAGGCTCACCCACAACAGACGATACAGCTTCTACTCCTCCGTTGTAGATAGATGATGTGGCAGATGGTTCTATATGGTCCCACTTAAGCTGGATATAGTTAAAGATCTGCATGTAGCCAGCTGTGGCCAAAGCCCACCACAGGGACCAGTACACTAAATGCCTGCATGGTAAAAAGTGAGACAACATGTTATGATGATGGGTATTGATAAAATACACAGTGCTATGCCAAAACATTCATCTCTTCAGCTTTTTAATATACCACTACAAACCTTCATTTTGATTTTATGTGATGGACAAATACATTTGTTCATGTAATTCTGAACTTGAAGTAATATGATACATATTTAACATTTTCACAAAAAATAAAAAACTGGGGCAGAAGTATACCTTTCAGCGGAATAATGAGCCTAAACAAAATGATGGAGCAACAGTGGAAGGGTTTGGGTCAAAGCATATTACTGTGTTAGCTTGAGTTATTATTAATAAAAGGATAGTCACCAACTCCCAATTTTAGTCTGTCAGGCAGACACCCTGTTTACTTTTAAGGCTAGGCCTTACATTTTCCTTTTTGATAAAGCTTATGGATAGAGTGGCTTAGGTTATCCTGAGCTACCTCTGTAGTTATGCTGCTATAGGCTCAGGTTGCTGGAGAACACAATAACCGCTTTCCTCACTCTGCTACATTCTCCTACTACTCTTTAATTTATATTATTTGCTGCTGTTTCAGCTGTTGACTTTATGTTCTCTCTCTCTGATTTTTCTCTTCCTAGAAGCTACACCAGGCCTGGCTCTGTGTTTAACTGTGACACCCTCCTGGTGGGTGACATCGGCTGAGCTACTGTTGCCAACAGCTTTATGTTCTCCTTCTACAGATGATAGACTTGGCCCTGTCTTTCAGTGTTTAACCCTGTTTCTCACCTTGACATACTGTATCTACTGGCTGAGTTTCTACTGTGACTAACTGAATGTGGTCTCTTTCATCCTCTAGACTTGAAAACTGGCTCAAAGCTTATTTGCTCAGCTGTCTTTCTCTCCTAGATGACGCCACTAAAGGAGCTACTACTGCCTTTAACATTTTACTTTTCTTTCACACAGAAAGTACTCCTGGATCAGTGCTTCTGGGTTCTTTATGTGCGAGTGCCCTGTCCACTCAAAGCCCGGGTGGGTCATGGCAGCTGGCTGAACACTGAGCCTGGTTCTGCTGGAGGTTTCTTTCAGTTAAAAGGGAGTTTTCCTCTCCACTGTTGCTAAATGCATGCTGGGATTGAGGGAATGTCACAAAGCAAGCGACTGTCCACTGTCGCTTTATGCTCATCCAGGGGAGTGAATGCTGCAAGTCAGTGACTCAATGCAATTTGCTGGGTTTCTTTAGATAGAAAACCTTTTACCCACTTGAATATTAAACTGAATTTGACTGCATTGTTTGACAATTAGAATCAATTGGAATGTATGTACCTGACTTAAAATCTGTATGATTCGATTGAATTCGCTTTGTAAAGTGCCTTGAGACGACATGTGTTCAATTCAATTCAGTTTTATTTATATAGCGCCAATTCACAACACATGTTGTCTCAAGGCATTTCACAAAAGTCAGGTACATACAGGGGTTGGACAATGAAACTGAAACACCTGTCATTTTAGTGTGGGAGGTTTCATGGCTAAATTGGACCAGCCTGGTAGCCAGTCTTCATTGATTGCACATTGCACCAGTAAGAGCAGAGTGTGAAGGTTCAATTAGCAGGGTAAGTGCACAGTTTTACTCAAAATATTGAAATGCACACAACATTATGGGTGACATACCAGAGTTCAAAAGAGGACAAATTGTTGGTGCACGTCTTGCTGGCGCAACTCTGACCAAGACAGCAAGTCTTTGTGATGTATCAAGAGCCACGGTATCCAGGGTAATGTCAGCATACCACCAAGAAGGACAAACCACATCCAACAGGATTAACTGTGGACGCAAGAGGAAGCTGTCTGAAAGGGATGTTCGGGTGCTAACCCGGATTGTATCCAAAAAACATAAAACCACGGCTGCCCAAATCACGGCAGAATTAAATGTGCACCTCAACTCTCCCGTTTCCACCAGAACTGTCCGTCGGGAGCTCCACAGGGTCAACATATACCGCCGGGCTGCTATAGCCAAACCGTTGGTCACTCATGCCAATGCCAAACGTCGGTTTAATGGTGCAAGGAGCGCAAATCTTGGGCTGTGGACAATGTGAAACATGTATTGTTCTCTGATGAGACCACCTTTACTGTTTTCCCCACATCCGGGAGAGTTACGGTGTGGAGAAGCCCCAAAGAAGCGTACCACCCAGACTGTTGCATGCCCAGAGTGAAGCATAGGGGTGGATCAGTGATGGTTTGGGCTGCCATATCATGGCATTCCCTTGACCCAATACTTGTGCTAGATGGGCGCGTCACTGCCAAGGACTACCGAACCATTCTTGAGGACCATGTGCATCCAATGGTTCAAACATTGTATCCTGAAGGCAGTGCCGTGTATCAGGATGACAATGCACCAATACACACAGCACACAGCACTAATTATTATTGAGCCACTTTGGGGTGTTTTGGAAGAGTGAGTCAGGAAACGTTTTCCTCCACCAGTATCACGTAGTGACCTGGCCACTATCCTGCAAGAAGAATGGCTTAAAATCCCTCTGACCACTGTGCAGGACTTGTATATGTCATTCCCAAGACGAATTGACGCTGTATTGGCCGCAAAAGGAGGCCCTACACCATACTAAAAATTATTGTGGTCTAAAACCAGGTGCTTCAGTTTCATTGTCCAACCCCTGTACATTACAATTAATCCTAATCATTGAACAGTACAGTCAGATTCAGTTATTTATTCAAATTGGATAAAAAGTTTTTCTGTCTAAGGAAAAGAAACCCAGCAGATTGCATCCAGTCAGTGACTTGCAGCATTCACTCCTACCGGATGAGCATGTAGAGACAGTGGACAGTC